CCTCTGAGCACCAACATCAGACCTCTTAGCACCCCAATCAGATTTGCCCTTACCACCAATATCAGACCCCTAGCACCAACATCAGACCAAATAGCACCAACATTAGACCAAATAGCACCAACAACATATCCCTTGGCACTAACATCAGACCTCTTATCACTCCAATCAGATCCCTAAGCACCCCCTATTAGACCCTTTAGCATCAACATCTGACCTCTAGAAACCCCCATCAGATCCCTTATCACCACCATAAGACCCCTTCGCACCAACATCAGACCCCCTAACACCAGAAGAAGAATATCTCTACCAGTTCTTCGAGAGTTTGATCTTTCTTTTATTTTCTGTTACAGCAGTAGCCATCTTGAATACTGATCAAAATTTGAAATTTGTAACCAGAACCAGCACTGCATATGTTTCAAGAGAATCCTTAATGTAGTCCTTAAGAAATGGTGATAACAAATAACAAAACTGTAACGACAAGTGTCAAATTCCAAGATGTCAGTGCCATCAATTCACACATAAGATTTCAACATTATTAAAGTTGTTAGAGAATTTAAAACATCGCTTGAATTCTTTCTGATATAATGCACACCAGCATGTCAGTGTTGAAAAGCTGGAATGACAACAACTACAGAAAGATATATCTGTATTGCATTCACAACACAGTTGCCAAGCAATATCATGAGTACCTCTTGGTTAATTATCTGCTCCACGTTTAACAATTTTTCCTAAAATTCCAACAAATAACCACAAACACAACAAGTTTTCCATAGCCATTGCATCACTGTATAATGTTCTAAAATATGTTTGCACTAATTGCACTTTCTCTAATATTATTTATATAACAATCATGGTGGATGCACGACTTCATCATCATGTTAATTACTAAAATTGACAACCTGCTAAATATTTTATTGCAACAAATTAAGTATGTTTAAAGTACTCAATTTTAAAAATTCAAATTAATCAAATGCAATCAATTATGTTTTTTTTTTAGTTGGTAAAGCATGGAAATGAAAATGTTAGCATGTTAAACAGCAAGTAGAGAAAGCATAAAACGAATGTGAACAGAAGGGAAAAAGAAGAAAGAAAGCACAAGGAAAGGAAGAAGATATGAGAAGCCAAAGAAAAATGAGAACAGTAAGAATAGGAGTTAAAAAGGGAAGAGCAGTTAAGGAGAAAGAATGATGAGAGGAGTAAAAAGTGAAGACAATGAAAGTATTAATGATATAACTTAAAATGATGTCTAGCTTTACCATGCTAAATCAAAATCTATGTAACAAAGGATAAACCACAAAACTGTCACTTTCATTTCTCCCAACTTATTCACTGTAGAGCATCACACAGGGATAATTTAATGAAAATGAATACAAAATACAATGAAAAAACATAAATAACAAGTTTTCTGGTCTTCTTACGTCTTTCATCACCAGCAACAGTCATAACCAGCTGGGTAGAGTAAGAGCTTATGTATCCAATCACAGTAAACAAATCTCCAAGGTGGGTTGTAGCGATGGTAGCAACAATATCCATATTTGATTTCTGATGATTGAGAAATGCCCTTGACTTGTCAACCACCTCCTGTAAAACTATGTAACTGCCCAATAAAGCTGTAACTAATGAACAATACCAGAGACAGATATTTCTTACACACATCAGAACATGATGATCCAAATACAGGATGTCCAGATACATATAGAAAGGCAAGAGGTCAGCAGATGTTCAATGATAGAGAAGGGCGCTAACTGAGGTGCTATTGATTATGTGATTATCACCGAACTTCCATAACTGGAACCCACCACTTTCAGCCCACTTTAAACCGATAAAATGTGTAAATGATTGTCCTAAGACGTTGTGGATGAACATGAATTATTTAAAACATGCCCGGACCAGCACTGGCCCGCGACCATCTTCCTCTATTACTGACAATGCAAATTAGGTTTTCTGAGCCAGAATTTAATTTTGTTTTTCTCCAGCAGTGTATTTGAGCGAAAGAGTACATCACATGTAGGTTCTAATGGGATATTCAGATGGTTAAGCAGCAACTTGGGATTGTCATAATGGAAGCAATAGTACCAAGAGGTTGTGCAGGTGTAATTAGAGGATGTACAGGTGTTTAAGGTAACTAGTTGTGCAGATGTATAAGGTAACTAGAGACTGTGCAAATGTTTACAGTTACTAGATGTGCAAATGTTTACAGTTACTAGATGTTGTACAAGTATTAAAGGTATTTAGAGGCTGTACAGTTATTAAGGTAATTAAGGTACCTAGAACTTGTACAGGTGCTTAAGATACCTAGAGGTTGTACAAACTTTTTATGAGCAATATATACCTTGGACTATACAAGTGTTTAAGGTACTTTAGACTATAATGAAGTCAAATGTGCCATAGTGCTGTGTAGGTGTTTATGTACCTCTGTGCTTGTGTGGGTGCGTAATACTTGTGTAGGTACTTATGTACCTTAGTGCTTGTGTAGGTATTTATGTACCTTAGTGCTTGTGTAGGTATTTATGTACCTTAGTGCTTGTGTAGGTATTTATGTACCTCAGTGCTTGTGTAGGTATTTATGTACTTGTGTAGTGCTTGTGTAGTGCTTGTGTATTTATGTACCTTAGTGCTTGTGTAGGTATTTATGTACCTTAGTACTTGTGTAGAAATTTATGTACCTCAGTGCTTGTGTAGGTATTTATGTGCCTTAGTGCTTGTGTAGGTACTTATGTACCTTAGTGCTTGTGTAGGTATTTATGTACCTTAGTGCTTGTGTAGGTATTTATGTACCTTAGTGCTTGTGTAGGTACTTATGTACCTTTGTGCTTGTGAAGGTACTTATGCATCTTAGTGCTTGTGTAGGTATTTATGTACCTTAGTGCTTGTGTAGGTATTTATGTACCTTAGTGCTTGTGTAGGTATTTATATACCTAAGTACTTGTGTAGGTATTTATGTACCTTAGTGCTTGAGTAGGTACTTATGTACCTTAGTGCTTGTGTAGGTATTTATGTACCTTAGTGCTTGTGTAGGTATTTATGTACCCGAGTGCTTGTGTAGGTACTTATCTACCTTAGTGCTTGTGAAGGTATTTATGTACCTTAGTGCTTGTGTAGGTATTTATGTACCTTAGTGCTTGTGTAGGTATTTATGTACCTTAGTGCTTGTGTAGGTATTTATGTACCTTAGTGCTTGTGTAGGTATTTATGTACCTTAGTGCTTGTGTAAGTACTTATGTAACTTAGTGCTTTCATATGTACTTATGTAGCTTAGTGCTTGTGTAGGTGTGTAATACTTGTGTAGGTATTTATGTACCTTAGTGCTTGTTTAGGTACTTATGTACCTCAGTGCCTGTGTAGGTATTTATGTACCTTAGTGCTTATGTAGGTGTGTAATACTTGTGTAGGTGATTTATGTAGCTTAGTGCTTGTGTAGGTTTGTATGTACCTTAGTGCTTGTGTAGGTACTTAAGTACCTTAGTGCTTGTGTAGGTGTGTAATACTTGTGTAGGTGATTTATGTAGCTTAGTGCTTAAGAAGGTGTAGCTAGGGAATTTCCTTAAGGCAAGATTTTGTCAGTATGTATTTTTGCACAAATGTTTCAGGTTCTCCCTGGTAGTGTAACACAATTGTGAAGAACCTATAGGGGCTGTAAATAGCAGAAGTGGTTTTATTGTTTAGAATACAGCAGCTTGGCTCTAGCAATGACATTTAACTAGTTTAATTTCTCATTACACACTAATTAGAAAGTACTATGTTTGTCGCACTATTTCTTCCAGCAAATGTGAGCTAATCACCCTGTTAATGAAAAAAATCTAAGCAGCTATGTTTTAATGTATGTTTCCTCTCCCTAATTTATTGATACATCATTTTGGATAAATAAAATGGAAATTTTAATAGAAAACAGGATTGGTTTGCTTAATTTCTCCTCATAAAATTCTACCGAAATCAAAGGTTGATTTTTACAAGGATATTAGGGGCTTATTTTCTCTAAAAGTAAATTTAAGATTAGTAAATAAACGCACTATTAAACAAAGTATTGTCTTTCAAGAGCAGATATTGGAAAGGTTAATTTGACTTAAAGACATGAAGGGGAGTAACAGCAAGTAAGGTGACTGCTTGATGTTGTGTGAGGATAGATTTTATGGTCTTTATATCATTGTTTTAAATCACAAGGATTATTTTCAAAAAAAGTTGGTACCTTAGTATACAATTGTGTAGGTGTTGTAGGAAGGAATATGTAGATGTTGGCTACAGAGATATTCTGAAAATTGTGGCCCTTTGATTAAGATTAATCAAGGAGGACACCATCAGATCAGCCATTAAAATATTTCACTGTGTGGTAAGCTGTGGATGCTGTAAACAAAACATCAAAAAGCTGTATTTGTTTTTAGTAATACATGCATTGGTTAAAGTCAAATTGTCATTTTTCCACTAAAATTGAAGATTAACTATTATGGTAACACATTTCACATTCGTTTACCTAATAGAAAGGTTACATAGTCATTACAACCATCACTGACTAATAATTTCTCCAACTTTTAAAAAAGCTGACATTTAGAAATCTTGCAAATACAAAATACATGTCCCTTCAGGTGTTGATAATTTCTGGACTACTAAGAGAGACTCACATATGCATATATTGGAAATGGTGTCCACAATTCAGAGCCATCCAGGATAATTACCAAGACATTTTCCATCTTAATGTAAATGTCAACGTTGTAATCAATACAAATACGGCTATATCTGTATGTATTACCATTTCCACTATCTTCCAAAGTCACCCAAAAAAACTTACAACTGTATACCATTCCAAAAAATAGCCACTAATACAATGAAATACCACTTCCTCCACTAACTACTCATAAAATAAAGTACCACTTCCACCAGCAACTACTCCTAAAATAAAGTACCACTTCCACCAGCAACTACTCCTAAAATAAAGTACCACTTCCACCAGCAACTACTCCTAAAATAAAGTACCACTTCCTCCACTAACTACTCCTAAAATAAAGTACCACAACAACATCCCCACCGACAACATCCCAACAACAACAGCCCTACCAACAACAGCCCTACCAACAACAGCCCTACCAACAACAACCCTACCAACAACACCACCACCAACAACAGCTCCACCAACAACAGCCCTACCAACAACAACCCTACCAACAACATCCCCACCAACAACAGCCCCACCAACAACAGCCCCACCAACAACAACCCTACCAACAACAGCCCTACCAACAACAGCCCCACCAACATCCCTACCAACAACAACCCTACCAACAACAGCCCTACCAACAACATCCCAACAACATCCCCATCAACAACATCCCTACTTACAACAGCCCTACCAACAACAGCCCTGCCAACAACATCCCATCAACAACATCCCAACAACATCCCCACCAACGAAAGCCCTACCAACAACATCCCCACCAACAACATCACCACCAACAACAGCCCTACCAACAACAGCCCTACCAACAACAACCCCACCAACAACATCCCCACCAACAACATCACCACCAACAACAGCCCTACCAACAACAGCCCTACCAACAACAACCCTACCAACAACAACCCCACCAACAACATCCCCACCAACAACATCACCACCATCAACAGCCCTACCAACAACAGCCCTACCAACAACAATCCCACAAACAACAACCCCACCAACAACATCCCCACCAACAACATCACCACCAACAACAGCCCTACCAACAGCCCTACCAACAACAACCCTACCAACAACATCACCACCAACAACAGCTCCACCAACAACAGCCCTACCAACAACAACCCCACCAACAACATCCCCACCAACAACAGCCCCACCAACAACAGCCCTACCAACAACAACCCTACCAACAACAGCCCTACCAACAACATCCCAACAACAGCCCCACCAACAACATCCCTACCAACAACAACTCTACCAACAACAGCCCTACCAACAACATCCCAACAACAGCCCCACCAACAACATCCCTACCAACAACAACCCTACCAACAACAGCCCTACCAACAACATCCCAACAACATCCCCATCAACAACAGCCCCACCAACAACAGCCCTACCAACAACATCCCAACAACATCCCCACCAACAACAGCCCCACCAACAACAGCCCTACCAACAACAACCCTACCAACAACAGCCCTACCAACAACATCCCAACAACAGCCCCACCAACAACATCCCTACCAACAACAACTCTACCAACAACAGCCCTACCAACAACATCCCAACAACAGCCCCACCAACAACATCCCTACCTACAACAGCCCTACCAACAAAGCCCTACCAACAACATCCCTACCAACACCATCTCTACCAACAATATCCCCACCAACAACACCCCTACAAACTTCAACCTTATCAGCACAAGACTTACCAGTACTCCAATAAATTACATTCCTCCTACAACATCACTCTTACAAGAGACTGTGATTTTGAAACATTAATATCACCTTTTCCACAACATCTCCCGTCCTCTCCATCCTTATATTAAATCGAAATCCAATCAATTTATCAGAGAAATGATGCTTTCAAAGCAAATACTGTAATATTCGCTATCTAGTTACGATGTTATACAACACTGTACACATACTTATTTTGGCGCAATATAAATTTTGGACAAATAAGCGAAATGATGAATTTGCACATTCGCAGTTACAGCTATATCAAAAACAAACAGAAACTGTAATTAGCACAAACATATTTTATCACCATATCTTTAACAAAAACGGCTGTAAAGTATTTACCATTGAAATATGTTTGTTTACAATATGAAATATTATGTTCGTATGCAAATTTATCAAGTATTTTTATGTACACTTGACATAATAGAATTTGTAATGATTTACAGCTGTCATGTAAGTTTGTTATACAATAAAACAAAATCTATAACAATATTTTTTATCTAAGTTAATTTCACACTCAACAACAGAACTAAGTTATTCACAAGCAAGAAACAAAACAAAACAAAAGAAGATTATCTCACCGTGTTCGGAATGCAATCATTGTGATTCCAAGATCTGCCACTTTGTATGGCATTACATTGTATGTGACCAGAATTCCGGAGAAAATTCTGAATGTTGAACACTGAGGACTGACTCTTCACTGATGTGGCTATCTTTTACTGACACCATTCCCAAGAGTTAGACATTTCGGCAATGCTAATTCACCACAGAATCAATAAAGTCACACAATCAAGTTTTACACATATCCTAATGCAATGAATGAATATCAGTCTCACCAATACTAGAGGAAGACAAAAAAAAAATTTCACAAAACAAAATTCCCTTACAGGAAATCTAATTGTTCTTTAGCATCCCAAACTGCAATAACTCAACACAGATGTGATCAGGAATTTTAATTTAATTTAGAGTAATAATTTATGGGAAAGAAAAAAGATATTTATTGAATAAATGAATGAAAACAATTAAAACAGAGAAAGAAGTCACACCATATCATCGTTAGGTGTACAAGCAGAATCATTATAGCTCCGTAACTCCATTAACTTTGAGAGGGCATGCAAAACACTCCCTTGCAAAACAATAAAACAAAAATATGGACAGATAATCCTGCTTTGTGCAAATTAGAATTGTTCAAACCCCCAAAGAAATTTCTGTGGCAGATAATATATCACAAATATAACAATTAATGTATTATCAATGAATTAAGAAATTTTAAGAAGAGTATGTAAGGTATAGGATAGGCCTACTAAGTAGAAAAGATCCTGATTCTGTACCCCTGCTATGGATTAAACTCTGGTTAAGATTTATCATAAAAAAATAAATCACTATCTAATCACAATCTAAATTGACATTTATATATAGCCTGTTCTACAGCTTCTGTTTGTCTATAACTATCACCTGTCTAAAACTATTATCTGTTCTGTAGCTACTGTCTGTCTATAACTATCACCTGTTTAAAGATATGACCTGTTCTGTAGCTACTGTCTGTCTATGGTTATCTTCTATATAAAGATATGACCAGTTCTGTAGCTACTGTCTGTCTATGGTTATCATCTATATAAAGATATGACCTGTTCTGTAGCTACTGTCTGTCTATGGTTATCATCTATATAAAGATATGACCTGTTCTGTAGCTACTGTCTGTCTATATTTATCATCTTGCTATATCTTCAGTCGGTCATTCCATCTTTGAATGTCTTCATAAACACATTCTATATGGGTTCTAGTTATGCATATTACATTTTCAGGTTGATCAGATATTCAAGATGGCCACTAGCAGCTATGATAGATTTTCACATCTTAAGTTTGATCCCTTTTTCATAATGCAGAAGATGTTTTTGAAATCTAAAGAACATATTTATCACAGGTCCTGTAGGTGTGAATTTGATCAGATGTTTAAAATGGCAACCATCATCTATAGTCATATAAAAATTGTTAGTACCACTAAAAATGTTTGGTGTATATATTTACGAATAGTTTCATACAATATGTATATATAAAATATGTAATACTAATATACACCTCATATATGTATATAGATAACACAACTTTGTGTTTTCTTTAATTATATCATCCTTCTTAAGGTAAGATATAAAGTCTGATTAATGTTGTTTATGCATTATATGGTAAGTTAACACATGCAGTCTTTGTTCAATAATAGTGTTGAAAAAGACTCTAGATAACCACATACAGTCTCTGTTAAATAAAAGTGTAGAAACATATTCGTGATGACTACGTTCAGTCACTGTTAAATAATAGTGTAGAAAGACTCATGATAACCATGTTCAGTCTCTGTTAAATAATAGTGTAGAAAGACTCATGATAACCATGTTCGGTCTTCTTAAATATTGTGTATGAACTGACTCGAGATAACTACGTTCAGTCATTGTTGAATCATTGTACAGAAACAGAGTCATGATAACCACATTCAGTCTCTGTTAAATAATAGTGTATAAAATAGCTTGTGATAACCACGTTCAGTGTGTTAAATAATAGTGTGGGAATATTCAGAGACAAAAAAGTGTTGGTGGTATACTGGAATATCATGTGTGAATATCTACACAAAAAAGTGTTGGTGGTATACTGGAAAGTCAGGTTGTGGGAATGTCCACACAAAAAGTGTTGGTGGTATACTGGAATATCATGTGTGAATATCTACACAAAAAAGTGTTGGTGGTATACTGTTGGTGGTATACTGGAATATCATGTGTGAATATCTACACAAAAAAGTGTTGGTGGTATACTGGAATATCATGTGTGAATATCTACACAAAAAAGTGTTGGTGGTATACTGGAATATCATGTGTGAATATCTACACAAAAAAGTGTTGGTGGTATACTGGAATATCATGTGTGAATATCTACACAAAAAGTGTTGGTGGTATACTGGAATATCATGTGTGAATATCTACACAAAAAAGTGTTGGTGGTATACTGGAATATCATGTGTGAATATCTACACAAAAAAGTGTTGGTGGTATACTGGAAAGTCAGGTTGTGGGAATGTCCACACAAAAAGTGTTGGTGGTATACTGGAAAGTCAGGTTGTGGGAATGTCCACACAAAAAGTGTTGGCGGTATACTGGAATGTCAGGTTGTGGGAATGTCCACACAAAAAGTGTTGGTGGTATACTGGAAAGTCAGGTTGTGGGAATATCCACACAAAAAGTGTTGGTGGTATACTGGAATGTCAGGTTGTGGGAATGTCCACAAAAAAGTGTTGGCGGTATACTGGAATGTCAGGTTGTGGGAATGTCCACACAAAAAGTGTTGGTGGTATACTGGAATGTCAGGTTGTGGGAATGTCCACACAAAAAGTGTTGGTGGTATACTGGAATGTCAGGTTGTGGGAATGTCCACACAAAAAGTGTTGGTGGTATACTGGAAAGTCAGGTTGTGGGAATGTCCACACAAAAAGTGTTGGTGGTATACTGGAAAGTCAGGTTGTGGGAATGTCCACACAAAAAGTGTTGGTGGTATACTGGAAAGTCAGGTTGTGGGAATGTCCACACAAAAAGTGTTGGTGGTATACTGGAAAGTCAGGTTGTGGGAATGTCCACACAAAAAGTGTTGGTGGTATACTGGAATGTCAGGTTGTGGGAATGTCCACACAAAAAGTGTTGGTGGTATACTGGAATGTCAGGTTGTGGGAATGTCCACACAAAAAGTGTTGGTGGTATACTGGAATGTCAGGTTGTGGGAATGTCCACACAAAAAGTGTTGGTGGTATACTGGAATGTCAGGTTGTGGGAATGTCCACACAAAAAGTGTTGGTGGTATACTGGAATGTTGTTTTCTGGGAATACGAGACGAAAAGCGTAGGTGTATACTGGATGTTGTGTTGTAGGAAAATTCAGAGACAAGAAGTGTTAGAAGTATAAAGGTATATTTTGTTATCTAGTAATAACAGATTGTTACATCATCAGACAGGGGAGTCAATATTCACCTAGAAACAAAGGCAAGTCAATATTTACACAGAAAGCAAAGGTAGACAAATTGCTCAATGATTACAGGTATGTCAATATTCAAAATAGTTCATTGGCATGAGTTTGACAGGCTCAAGGAGAATTCTAAGAAAGAATTATCTATAATACGATACTGTATACAATGTGTGGTTGATTGGCTAAACTAAGGCAACTAATCAAATTATTGAAGAAATCTGCTAGTCTGTAGCCTGGTGAATTTGTTACACAATGTCAACAGTGTGTGTGCATAATCTGCACATGCTGTGAAATGATATTTCAATAATGAGCGAGCGAGCGAGCGAGCGAGTGAGTGAGTGAGTGAGTGAGTGAGTGAGTGAGAGAGTGAGTGCAGAGTGAGTGAGTGTAGAGTAAGTGAGTGAGTGAGTGAGTGAGTGAGTGAGTGAGTGAGTGAGTGAGTGAGTGAGTGAGTGAGTGAGTGAGTGAGTGAGTGAGTGAGTGAGTGAGTGAGTGAGTGAGTGAGTGAGTGAGTGAGTGAGTGAGTGAGTGAGTGAGTGAGTGAGTGAGTGAGTGAGTGAGTGAGTGAGTGAGAGAGTGAGTGAGTGAGTGAGTGAGTGAGTGAGTGAGTGAGTGAGTGAGTGAGTGAGTGAGAGAGTGAGTGCAGAGTGAGTGAGTGTAGAGTAAGTGAGTGAGTGAGTGAGTGAGAGAGTGAGACGTGTGCATGTCAGTCCAGTCCCCTCATTCTGCACCTGACTGGCACCAAGCACAAACCTGATTTGCATATTTTCATCGTAATGTTCATAAATGTATCTGATCAGTCTTGTGCAAAATATAAGCAATACAAATGTATTGCAAGTTCCAGTTAGTTGTCTCAGTGTATTGTAATAAATGTGTGGAAAAAACTGCCTTTCGACTTATCTGACCTATTGGTGACAATTTTTATTAAAACTGTTTTAACCATCCCAAACGTGGACTTTAGATGAGAATTCAGTGTATGGAGACTGGG